TAGCTTTCCTCAGTAAACGGGTTATCTAATGCAAAAATAATATTTCAAATCAGATTAGTAGTACCTGAGATTAGTGCGTTCAAACAAACAAACTAACAAACAAACTCTGCCTCTTTATAATATTAGTATAGATTATTCAAATTTCTGTTTTTCTTCAAATGCTTATTCTTCAATTAATGCCGCTCTTAACAAACGTGACGTATTTACGTGAATATTTGACATTTTAAATAAAACTATTTTTTCGGTTTTTTTCGCGGATTTATTTTGATTTTTTGGTTCCTGACGTTTTGAATGCTTTACAGCATAAATGGTCACGGGACAGGCGTTATATATTTAAAAAATGGCACCAACATCCGTCCGTTGTAATGACTAATGAGAGTAAAAATGCCTACATAGTATCTAGTTTTAATATCAGTATCAGTGAGTTGATAGTTGTGTAATGCATATAAATTAGCTTACATATGAAAATCAAATATTTATTATAAAAAAATATTGTCATGTAATGTAGTGTTCTTAATATTCATAAAGTCATTACGTAGTTATGATGTTGAATTTTAATAAGTTTTTACATAGTCAACCCTTATATGTATTTTAATTCTACGCGTTAGCAGCGAGTTTAGAAAAGGCGAATTTTAAAAGAGTTAAGAGAATCTTTAAATTTGTATTTATTATAAAGCAAAGTATCTTATTCCGTCGAAGAATACTTTGTAGTGTAAATGTATGGGATTACTATTAGTTGATACTCACGGAACATAATTATTGTATTGCAGTATTATAAACGAATTGGTACTGTTAGATATTTGGAATTTTATATAACATCTAGCATTGCCCGCGGCTCCCCCCGCGGTCAGATTACCAAAAACCAAGTTCTTAGGCTTTACATATTAGTATACTCTTACATTGCAGTTTTTGTATTTTTTCTCAGAAATGAGATTTTTCCTGCGGTAAAAAGTATCCTATATACTGACCCGGATAACCAGCTGTCAGCATACCAAATTTCATCAAAATCCCTCCAGTGGTTTTTCTGTGATGCGGTAACAGACAGACAGATATACAGATAGATAAAAATTCTAAAAACTATACCTAGATTTGGCCTCTGTATCGATAATAATGTCTATTTCAATAAGATTTTCCAAAAAACATTTAATGTACAGATTCGGCTTAGTTACAATTTTATTACCTATATACATAGATTTTTTAACTTAAATTACTTTAAAATAAATAAGTTGTATATATTTTTGTAATCTCCTCTCAAAAATTTGAATTTTAATATTCCATTCGATTGTTTCTTGAAAAAAATTTCAAGACACATTGGCGCCTAAGATCTGCCATTTTCATTTTTAATAATATCCATATACTCCATAACACTTGCACTATCAAGACAAATCTAACGACGTATGAATCATCAAAATCGGTTGAGCCGTTTAGGAACTACGAGGGAACATAGGGTCGAACATACACATTCATAAACATAAGTCAAAGACAGAACCTTCCTTTAGGCTTCGCCGCGGTCGGGTAAAGGAGCATTTGTTGAGTTTTAATTTATGAAATGAAAATGATTTAAGATCAAAAACATAATTTAATTAAAATTTTTATTTAGACTTTTTTTTTAATAGAAGATTTTATAGGTCTTATACAAGTGGATGTACGTAGCTCGCACTATACTTTATATTAAACGAATTTTAAGTATGTTAAATATCATATTAAAATCAAAATTATATTAAAGTTTATCGTAAAAATATATTTCAGTATTTTTATACTAACGACAGCCTTAATTTAGTGAATTGCTTTCACTAAACACATAAAAATTATTTTAGTAGTTATATGTTAGTACTATCTATTTCCTATATTAAATATTACCTATACAGATAAATAAAATTGAAGTGTCTGTTTGTAATATTAAAATAACAGCTTTATACTAAATGCATATGAAGTTATATACGGTACTTATAAGAATAACACAATTTTTAAAAATTTTAACTGTTTATCTGTTTGTTCCGGCTAATTTCCGAAGCGAATGGACTGATTTTGATGGGACTTTCAATAACAGATAGCTAATGTTATAAGAAGTAACTTAGGCTATTTTTATTTTAGAAAAAGACTTAGAGTTCCGCGTAAAAAAATAAAATCCATGAAATTGTGAAGAAAATCCGCTTACTTAAGGTCGCACCTGAACGAAACGAGGGTACATCACTGGTGTAATATAATTATGCTAGTGCAATTATAATTAATTGTGATACAGACAAATCACATGAGTTCTGTTAGTAAAGAGTTCTGTTCGTAAAATAAAGCGTTTACAAAATAACTTTTACTACGTCGTATTTTACATTTACGTACTTTTAATTTAGCAAATGACTGTATTATTTAATTATATTGGAATATTCATGAACATTCATCAACAGCTTAAATCGTAACTTCGATCTTCGTCGGCTCTCTGTTTTGCAATTACTTGTCATATCTGTGTATCTGTCGTTGTATAAATATACATCGTATATACATATATATGTATGTATACAAATATTCTATGAGTAATTTGCCTAAATATACCCTCAAAAGGATTAGTTTACGCTGTTAAGTTTAGTGTGTTAAAATTGAAGTGTCGATCTGTGAATTCACAATGATTATATTATTTTCTCAAGTACCTAGTGCCACAAACATACTACATACATACATACTAATACATAGGCTGATAAACACATTATCGTCCTTTGCATCGCGCAGTCGGGTAATGAGAAAATTTTTGCAAGGAAAATAGAAGTTCAATGTTGGTCCACTAGATGGCTGTACAAGTAAGTTGCATCGCGCAAGCATCACGTTCCCTTTAAGTGATATATGGCGAGATTGCTCCAGTGGCATCAAAACATAAATAGCGCATAAAGACAAATTTTTGAGATGCGTACTCAGATTATTGAGGTACGTATATGAACCTCCTAACATGCGTTCACCTTGTCGTGGCAGTGGGTTCATTTAACCAGGGACGAACCCGAGCGAAGCCAGGGTGAGTCGCTAGTAATATATTAATATTAGTCAATACATTCTAAGTATGCTACTTACTAGTAACTATATGCAAAATATCACTCCACTTATCAACATTTTGACTTAGTAGTCAGATTTCGATCCTTTATAGCTAATTTGAAACAATACAATAAATGGTTTTTGAATTGTTACGTCTTTAAAATCGCACCGAAACATACTGGTAACAGGTCAGAAAAGTGGACCGTAACAAAATATGTAAGATAATATTATTATATTCTAATGAATGATATTATTCTGTATATGATATCCGTTGCTATCTTCAAATAATACTATTTTTTCTAATTTGTTTTGAAATATATAAAAAAAAACAAAAAACAAAAAGCGACTCTCTGAAATAGACGTTTCACTTTACACCAACGGGGATGAGCTTCTACACAGCTCCACCTGTAGTTTATTTTAATTTTAGTTTTTTCTGATTTTTTTCCAAATTCCGAATAAAAAATTCGGTGCCGTAACAGGTCTTATATTCTAAATTTTATTAACAACTAGCGACTCACCCTCGCTTCGATCGGGTTCGCACCCTAGCTTGATAACCCATACAAATTTTCATCCCCATTTTCACCCTCTTATGTTTTCCGGGATAAAAACCCTATGTGCTTCCCAGGGTCTCAAACTATCTTCTTTCCAAATTTTATCTAAATCGGTTCAGTAGATCCAGAGATTACCCCCTACAACGTTACAAACTCACAAACTATACCTCATTATAATATTGGTATAGATATTTGTTAAATAATTTTTTATATTCTAAATTTTGTAAAAAATATTTGACTAGCCAAAGCTCCAATTTCGTTATACAACAGACGATACAGACTGTTCACTCGCTTTGTGTTAACAAAATCCATGTCAATTGATAGGTGTTATTTAAACCATCTCTTTTTTATATTAAAAAGAACAAGCGTATCAATAATGAAAGAAAAAAACCTAAATGAAGATAACTACGTAGTTTCTGGAAAGTTTCAAGAATAGTAAAAAAAAAACAATATTTATATTACAGCTATTAATAAATTATTTTATAGGATATTTATATTCTCATAATATGGATATTTATATTCTCATAATATGGATTATGAGAATATAAATATCTTAAATATTATTATATAATATTTCAAGTAAATGTAAACAAACTGAGAAAAATAAAACAGGTAACGCTATACTCTACGTTTGTCAATATTATTTATTTTGTTCCAGGTCATGTTCAATAATAATAAATATTATTTATTATTACCACCTGGGGTTATACTGACTGATCAGTTTCTCCTACGGCGGCTAATTCATTGAGAGTAGCCATCGGTGCAGGATATTATTGTACACTAGCGACTCACCTTCTCTCCACTTGGGTTCGCCTCTAGTTACGTTTTGAAGTTTAGTATAAATTTCTCTGATATAAGATACTTTCCTGCAGTAATAAATATCCTACCCGGATAACCAGCTATCATTATATCAAATTTCAAAAATCTGTCTAATAGTTTTCTCGTGATCCGTTCCCAGATAGACAGACACACAAATAGACAGACAGACAAACATTCTAAAAACTATAGATTCGAACTCTGTATTGATATATGACAATGTCCATAAGATTTTCCAAAAAATATTTAATGCACCTACAGATTCGACTCAGAATTTTATTATACATTATTATGTATGTATACATTTTCTATTCCTTTTACACTCAAACTTCGTTAATACGCTTGGAAAACTAAGCGAAGCGAGTTCAAATCCCGAGTTTCGCATCTCTGGTATTTTCATGTGCGAATCATTTTCCAGCATGATTACCCCTAACTAATACGGTAAGAGAAACATTGTGAGAAAACCTGCACGAATGAGTGAATCTAATAAGCCTAACAGCACTAGACCTGCGTGGTGGAATACGGCCCTTGTATTGATGGGAAACCCGTGATCAGTAGTAGGACGTTTAAAACGGCTAAATAACTATGTACATGCACAATTATGTAAGATTTACATACCTGCGTGGGTAATGGCAGCGTCACTTGGATCATATATTTCGTCATCCACTGCTACTACTGCGTACTCCCCTGCAGCTAAAAGTCCACGTCTTTGTAACACGTTCACAAAATCCACCAAAGCGATATGCTCGCCGAGAAACACGTACACTGTAGGCAAAAAGAAATAATTTTATAATAATTAAAATTCTTCACAAAACGTGCATTTTTCTGTTAACGATTTGTTGGATATATCTTGTAATGAAAGTTATTAAGCAAATTGGTTTACAGATTAGCTCTTTTATCAAATAGTATATACAACTCTCAAACAATTTTAATAATTTGAAAACTTATATATTTATATATAAGTTTTCAAATTATTAAAATTGTTTGAGAGTTTAGAAATTTTAAAAAGCTTATTATAGCAATTTTACCAATAAAAAGTTTAAAGAAATTTTTATTTGGCTTGATTTTTTAGATAAACTAAAAATTACGAAGTGAGTAGTACAATTATTTTAATGGGTCTTTTGTCGAATATTGTATGACTTTTGCTTAGTTTCTAATCGATAAACTCAAAAATTGCTGAACCGATTTTAATCATTATTTTACCATTGGAAAGATACATTATTTACAAGTAATATATTCAGTAGTATTTTCTTAAATTGTTGCAAATATTTGACATTCTCAATAAAACTCTCTTTTTAGATTTTTCGCGGATTTATTTTGTTTTTTTCATTCCCAACCCTTCGAATTACAGCAATCATGGTCACGGGAGAAACCGAAAAGATAATTTTATTTAAAGTGGTTTGAAATAATTAAACTTTTATGAAAAAAGATAATACAAGAATGGAGTAAAAATAAATTTTAGTTTAGTACAGCTCGTGAGATTTATTGTTCTACATATTGAAAGTGCATCCTGAAATAGATTTAAGGGGGCATTCGATCGCACCCTCTACAGTAGGGCGATATAAAAGACATTGTGCCAACAACCTCTTATCGATGTGACTTAATACGCTCTGTTATTGTCATAGATCGAGTGATCTAGGTCACACTATATCGCACTGTTCCTTATAAAAGTGGAATGTCTCGTAATAAAATAAAAATATGATAAGCTTTTACTGCTTTTTATAGATACGCAAAATATTTTTAGATATGGTTCACTGGCTTATGACACAGTGGCCTCCTGACCTTTATAACACACTAGCAGAACCTGCGCCTTCGCTCGCGCTAACACTACAGAAAACTAAAAAAGTATGTTTCATACAAACTTTCATCCGCTATTTTACCCCCTTAGTGAAAGTGAAGTCGTAGTGGAGGCATCACTAGTGATGAAAAATAGTGTTTAGAGACTGAATTAAAGCACTAAAATGTGAAACTAGAAATGTGAATGTACTGCACGTGTATATGAACCTCAATAAGTGGCTTTGCAAACCAAAAGTAATAACATCTGTAATGCAACAGACATACTTTAATTTCCGACCAAGAACTCATAGAACATAACAATATTATCATGACGCCGATTTAATTTGTAAATAATTTATATTGCAAATTTGAATACTGGTATAATGATCACCATAAAGATGGTGCGGAATTCATCAAGTGAATAATGATACAGTCAACATCATATAGTAAAGAGCAGTCAAGATAAAAAAAATTTCTGGGATAAAAAGTTACTTATATACATACTATTCCAAACTGTAATCTATCTCTGTGCCAAATTTTATCCAGATCCGTTCAGCCGTTGAGTATTGAATAACAAAATATCCATCCAAACTCTTATATAATATTAATGGGATATCTACAGAGGTTAAAACTGTTAAACCAACTTAACTGGTAAAATTGTTCAGGCCATTTATCATACTTAAATATACTGGAAAATGTAGAATGCTCAACAATACTTTCTAATCACGAAATTATTTTCCGCTCTTGGTGTTCTAATATATTTAAATAAGTTCTCGAGTTATTTGATTATCTTTACTGTTATATATATATATATATATATATATATATATATATATAAATATATATATATATATATATATATATAAAATATATATAATATATATATATATATATATTATATATATATATATATATATATATTATTTTAAAAAAAAATATATATAAATATTAAATTTACAAAAATAAAAAAGCTCGACTCCGTAAAAAGCGAACTAAAATGATGAGAAGTTGACGAAAGAACATAGTATTATCTAGGCGGAGTAGATAGTATTATGTATACATATATATGTTTTATATTTGCTGCGAGTCTTGCTCGTGTATGTATATCGTATGTCTTGTGACGATAATTGTGATACTACGTAAATTTTATTTTACTTCTATGGATCATAAAAAAAATATATTTACATAAAAAATAAGTAAATTATTCCAGACTCTTGAATGCACTCCACAAAACGGATGAAAATTTTAAAATCTGCTTTACATTTTTATAACAGAATAAGCACTGAGTCCGATGGGATTTCCAACCAACAAAAACAGCAGCTTAAACAATAGTTTCCGTATTTCCAACTTTAAAAATGGCGGGCTTTCATCCCCTAATATAATAAGTTTCTTTAGGGAACGAAATTTTAAATGACTTGTAACAATTAAAAAAAATTGATTTTATTTAAATATTATTATTTTTCAAAATTACTGAATCAAACCCACAAATCTAAGCTAGGCCTATCTATGGCTATGGTTTTATGAAATAGAACATAAGATATGAACACAAAATTATACTTTCAATCTTTATCAGTGAAAAGAAAAAAAGTAGGTCAAATCAAATATTTATAACATCATTACTGCATATAAAATTCACGGATAAATTTTCATTTAAAGGGACTTTTATCCAAGATCTTTTTGTTTTTTGGGAACAAAATGTTAAAAATCAAACGAAGTTATATGTTAATTTTTTTTTTATAATCTTGATTTAACATGTCATGGGAAGGCTGACTTAACTGAGATCAGTTCAGCAAAGCAACCAGAAAATGTTAAAAATAAGCAGCACATATATTGAATATAATATTTCTAATCTACATATATTTAAAGGGAAACTTGGGAAACTGAGTGAAGCGGGTTAACCAGTCCACCTACCCGCACTTGGCCAGCGTGTTGGACTATGGCCTGATCCCCATCGTATTGGGAGGCCCATGCCCAGCAGTGGGATATTAAAAAGGTCTGAATACAATACAATACATACAATACAATATTTAAAAATGCAAAGACTTTTTTTTCATCATCATCATCGAAGACAGCATTTTTTTCTCATTTAATCAGTCAACTACGTGCTTTCGTGTTATCAATAGAGAAATTTTGTAAATTCATATATTTATGTTTCCTTCAAATGTTCAATAATGTCGAATGCTAAGCGCTACTAGTAGTAATATTTATAAAAATAATAATAATAATTATATAATAATATAGTTTGATTAAATTCACTACAAATCTTTCACAAGGTTCAGTAATATATTCGGTAAGTAAAAACTATTAATAAAATAATAGTTTTTAGTTGAAAATTTTGCAAGGCTATATTAGTATTTTGTCAACAATATTTTATCTATTTATCTAATAGTAGGGGAGCCCAAGAGGGGATTTTCTGTAGTTACTCGAGCGCGGCAGATTAACATAAAAGAGGTTACCTTGCACTCTATTGAGTACTTTCACCATAATATAAGTCTATAATAATATAAGTACCATAATATAAGTATATAAAATCGACTATAAAGTTTATGATGATTTTTGCCTCTTAGGCTTGTGCAAATCGGCAGATTATTAAATTGGACACTTTTCTGGATGTGACTAGCCTACCACACCTTAATCTGACGGTTTCAAGTATTTTTACCTTATCAAAACATTTTTTAAATATTTTAATCGGCTTCCCTAGACGCGCCCCTATATATAGAAGACTTATATTGTGGTGAAAGTACTCAATAGAGTGCAAGGTAACCTCTTTTATGTTAATCTGCCGCGCTCGAGTAACTACAGAAAATCCCCTCTTGGGCTCCCCTACTATAATAGGTGACACTTATAACCTCCTTGTGCAAATGTTTCTTTAAACAACGACTAACAATATGTTTGTTTTTAATTTTCTGAATATCATCATATAAGTAGTATTTCTTAAAATCCCAATGACTCTTCTGTCCCAATCTGAAAATCGAATTCACCTCACTTTCCAAGCGAATGACACACGAGAGCATGTATATACGGATTAGCTTATATATAAATATAATTTAATTTATAATATGATTTATCTGACTACACGTTTGGCTTAGTTTATAGTGACCCTACTTGTTGCCCCAGCGGTCGCGGGTTCGAGTCCCACTGGGGGCATTCATTTGTGTGATGAGCACGAATGTTTGTACTCCGGTCACGGGTGTTTATGTTTATAATATGTATGTATTTAAAGTTATATATGTGTAGTGTATCAACTATCACTAGATATATAGGCTTGTGTTATGGATACTAATCCATAACACAAGCTTCGTAGCCTTACCATGGAACTAGACGGTGCTGTGTTAACGTCCCAACATAATAATTTATTTATATATCTTTTCCCATTAGTCACCAATTACTTAAATTGTAGAACTAAATCACATGATGTAATTACGTGATAAAAATTCCACGGGCTTCTTAAAAAATACCTTAAGGATAATATTGAATTGAATAATGATTCCTTTAAAGTATTTCGTAATTTTCTTCTTACACGAGAAAGGTATTGCTTACGGAGGCAGCGTAAACAAGATCGTGTCGTGTTAATTCGTTGAACCTAACATCACTTGGTAGTTTAAAGAAACACTGCACGCTCACTTTTTATCGATTTTTTACTTTAATACATTTTAATCTCAATTTCTGATGAAAATTTTGTCTATTACAACTTTTTTATTAACCCCCGATGCAAAAAGAGGGGTGTTATAAGTTTGACGTCGATTTCTGTATGTCTGTATGTGTGTGTGTCTGTGGCATCGTAGTTCTCAAACGGATGGACCGATTTCGATGCGGTTTTTTTCATTTGAATACCAGTTTCCTTGCGGTGGTTCTTAGCTATGTTTGGTTAATATCGGTCCAGCAGTGTAAGAGTATTAGCTCTTTTCCAAAATGATGTAAGGCATTTTGGCGTATGATTACTCGATTAAGTGCTTCACGCGTGCTAGTATAATCGTTAAATGACAATT